ACAAAAAAACAAAAAAAAAAAAAAAGACAGAGAACGGGACTACATACATTTCATCCTGGTTATCTTGCTCTTTAGTTGAACGAGGCTTAGAGTTGTCATCATGTTCCAGGCGATGGTGGTTTTGTCATAAGCATGTCATTTATTCAAAATATAAGAAAATACCAGTGGTAAACATATAAAGTAGGTAGCAGCTATTAGCCTTCATAAAAAACTCAACTGTATCTGAATATACAAGAATAGTTACTTTCAATATACCATCATGTGCATTTTCTGCATTCACCAAGAGCAGAGGAATATTGCATCCATATTTCTCATTTAGTACCTACGGCCAATACGACAATCACAAACCCAGTATCCAACGACTTTAAAATCCTATCTAGAACTACCAATAATATTGAACTCTCGTTTAAAAATTGAATCAGAAATAGACAATAAGGCCCAGAAATAAGACCTCAATCTGGTTGATTAACAAGTCAAGGCATGTCACACCACTACTAATTTCCATAGCACACCTGCATCATGCAAAAATGGATGACAAAGAGAGCATAGTTATTTAGAGGAAGACATCATATGAGCATGTTAAATAGGTGAAACTCTCAACACGTAGCGAGTGGCGCGCATCGGACGATGATGTGCGCGAAAAGAAGGAGCACACGCGGGCAGTGCTGGGCGTACGCAGGTGCGCGGCAGACGAGCAGGCCACGGCCGCTAGTGGTACGCGCGGTGCAGCGGTGATACAGAAGTGGGTTCTGAATCCCTGCGACAAGAAGGGCCAAGAGCCGAGACGACCCGAGGAGGCTGAAAATAGGGCCAAAACAACGCACGCATGGCCCAAGAGATGGGTGCGAGCTCGTATGCGAGGCACTCAACACGCGAGAAGATGGTCTCAAGGCTAGCAACGCTCACACGCACGGAGAGGTGCGTTAAGCAAGGGCGCGCACACGCGCATTGGCGTAGACGAGCGCGGAAGAGGCCACGACTCAAAAGGACGTGCCGTCGATG